AGCAGAGCAGGAAGAACCGATGCACTCCACCACAATGGCATTGATCTCACGGTTTGGTGCATTCCCATTGTTGACCTCGTGCATGGCGACATCGACTGCATTGACTGTATTGACTTTGGGGATGGTGGTTCTGCTGGCCTTAGCGGCGATGAGGATGTTGACATAATTGATTAAGTTGTGTTTTTATGGCAGGTGGCGGTGGTAGTCTTCGAGCAGTTTCTGGTTCCGTGTCTCCACTGACCTAGCAGAACAAATGCATTGTTCAAACAGGAATGCACATATTTTGGCTCCCATTACTATCTTGGCTCCCATTACTATCTTGGCTCCCATTATTATATGTCAATCCGTTTCTATCCGTTCTTGGTGCATTCCCCAGGAACGGACTTGGAACTGATTTGGGTCGGACAGGAATGGGGTTGGAACGGGTCAGTTCCTATCATGGAGACAACAAAGCATGGCAAGGGTTTGTAGCGGCCGGGCGTCGCTAACGATCAAAACCAATTGTTGTTGGGTAGCCACAAGCCATGGCAAGGGGAGCGGCCAAAACAATACATCTCTTGCGACCAATCTTACCACCATTGGGGGCACATCTAGCGGCAATTGATGGCCTAAGTGTGGGCCCAAGCATGTGCCCACACAACGGCGCAAGGGGCACCAACATGCCTTGGCCGTGTTGGTAATTTTTTGGTGGGTAGCTTGCCACACGGCTGCCTCCCATCATGTCTAATTCAAACGGGTGCGGGCAAAACATTGCCCGCTCACAACGATTCTAAGGGCAAGGGAGCCCTTTGGCATTTTCCCTCCCTTTATTTTGGCCCACGTTGCCCTCCCCCCCTTGCTCCCCCTTTGTTGACCCAACAAACCCATTTGCACTATACTACAAGCGACAACAGCCAAGACGTTGCTGAGAATCGAACTCGGGTCACCAGGTGGGGCACCCAATGTGGTGGCCATTTCACCACAACGCCAGTTTCATGTGCGGTTGTATAACGACGATTCTAGTAAACGAGGGACATTTGGCCATCTCCCCTCCCCCTATTTTGGCCATGTTACCTGCCCTCCCCGGCCCCTCTTTTGTGGCTGCCCAGCTTCGCGGTTGGATGCCTCTCAATTGGCGCTTTGAGAGCTAATTTCATACAACTGGTGAAGTTGCATCACCTCATCACACCTCCCTCTGCACCTATCCTTGCACTTGTCACCAATGGTGGGGACCACCAGTGACTCCCCAAGAGGGGGCAGCGATATGCGATGGAGGGAAGGTTGGGAATTGTATGACATACTTGCGAGCACCCATCATCGATGGACAAATGTGGGACAGGCGCTCCCAAGTGCATCATACAATTTTGATTGGCCCATGTGTGAAATTGTTGGACAACAATGGACTCTGCGATGGCCTGGAACGGAGGGAGTCATGTCATGGAGTGGTATAGGAATGGATTCCTAATGTGACTATATTACCCTGGAACGGAAGTTGGACGGCTGCACACCGTTCCAGAGTCATCCCCTATCCGTTCCACCCCAGGGACGGGCCATTCCTGGGCCTACGGGCCCAAGAATGGGAATGGACTTTAGTCCATTCCCATTCCCATTCCCATTCCCATTCATATTCCCATCTCCGTTCCTAATCCGTTCCCATTCCTGTCCGGCCCACCCCTATGTTCCAACCCGTCAGATTCCCCGATTCTGGCTCGCCCCCGCCACGGGATCGACCAAGCAGCACCATGTCGATGTTCTAACATGTCAGATTCCCTGATTCTAGCTCGCCGGCGCCCCCCGATCTCCAAACGTGTGGCCCAAAGAAGAGTGTGTGGAGAGCATCAACAGCATGCACGATCGCGGACACAGCCACACAAAGTGGATGGGGGCCACCTTCAGAAACAACGTAGTGCAAAGCTATGCTCCAGGCGACCGCTCATCAAACGTGCAGTACCCGGGTGTGTACCGGATCCGGGTACTGGCAGTACCTGGGTAATACAGGTACCCGCCAGTACCCGCCTGTACCTGGGTACACACCCGTACGCGCCTCCCTAGGTACAAGGGTTGGCGGGTACCCGGGTAGGCGGGTACTGGTAAAAAAACAATACCCGCTTCAGGTACCCCTGGTTTCCTGTACCAGGGTACTATCCCTAAACCATTGGCAGCGTTGCTTGACAACAACGTTGCAGCAGTGGTGGTGTTGCCACATAGTTGATGTGCATGTCTTGTGTCAACGTTGCTCAATAGGTACCCGTGTCACTATCTCATAGCGGTACCATTACCATCAAGGCCCGTCAACGTTGCTGCAACTCCGCCACCATTTCCAGATGGTGTTCAAAGTTCACAAAGTACTTACTTGGTCCTGTGCCATGCCATTGCTGTCAGTGCAAAAATAGGAGCTGCATCTTGAACACATTGGACTCGTGCTAAACACAAGATATGGGCACAAGCACCGCGGTAAGTACTGCACACGGCACAGGGACAGGCCAACACTAAGCACAATCTTGTGGGTTGTGGCCCTGAGCAACTGGCAGTATACAAACACCAAGATCAAGCATGAAAATTTGGGGTCCGTGAAGGTAAAATATACAGAGCTATTGTATTATATGTTCGCACTTATAACACATTGTTTTTAGTGTTGTATTGTACATAATACATGTCAGGTTAACCAGACTCTTTCACGCACGCTCGCACACAGTCGCTTCCAGGCACGGGAAACAAAACCGCAGCCAGATGCATTACAGGGTGATCGTACCAACTCAATAACAACCGCTGCAATGTCCACCTCCCATCTCCATTGTCTTCATGTCCATTCACCATAACACCATCCTCACCATATTTGCTTCTTACCATAAGAAAAACACCATATATCACATGTTATGTATTAACAACTCCCTCGCCCTCACAATGCATATTGTGAGTAGCTTGTGTGAAAGCTGAATAAAATACTGGGCGAATCTATCATATAGTCAAGCTTGTGTTGCATCATATTTAATGCTATATTGCACCATGGTATATATTATCTGCAGGTTGCCTGAGGACTGAATAAAGTACTGAGCAAATGTAACACTGTTGGAGGTGCATACCTGTCCAGTTTGATCTGCAGAGAGTTGGACCCAATACCCAGGCTATTGACAGTCAAACACTCACGAATCTGGCAGTTGGATTTGGCCGCTTCCTCACCATAGTCGTGCAGCCTCCTCAAATCCACAACAGCAGTACATGGACACACCTGGCATACCACCCAGCTGCGCGGCTGGCCAACTTTGCAGTTGGGTTTGGTTGACTTCACACAGCGTTTGTGCAGTGCTTTCAAAGCCACAACCGCAGTGCACAGGCACACCTGACACAGCACCTTGCAGCATTTCGCCACAACTGCAGTGCACAGGCACACCCGACACAGCACCTTGCAGCATTTCACCAGCTTCATGTCCAGGATCCAGCCAATGCTGCCCGCCAACGCCTGCAGCCTCATGGGCCATGGCGGATAGCGATGGGAATCCATCGTGCTCTGAAAGGCAGCACGGCAGGCAGAGCAGATGCACTCCATCACGATGCTGTCGATCTACCGATCGCAAGCACTCCTCCTGTGACATGCTGGCCACGTGTTCCATCTGTGCCCATCCATGACAGTTCCGGCATGTGCACTTCCTGTCTGTGCCTATCTGTGATGCACCCAAGAAGCCATTCTCCATTCACTTCCACCCGTGACAGCCCTCCAAAGGAGGCAACTCCTTGAGGACCATTATTGCTCACGGAATTGTCCATCTGAGGTCATGGACACATTATCGACAACCCCGCCTGGCACCTCCCAGAAACCCCATCTCACCAGCCCTTAAAGTACTCGGATGGTCAACATTCATGACCCATCCTTAAACAGTGTGAGTGCTTAGTGTATGCTGTCGATCTTCCGATCGCAAGCACCTCTCCTGTGGCACGTTGGCTACGCGTTCCATCTGTGCCCATCCATGACGGTTCCGGAATGTGCACTTCCTCTCTGTGGCTATCAGTGATGCACCCAAGATGCCATTCTCCATCCACTTCCGTCCGTGAGAGCCCCCTAAAGGAGGCCACTCCGTAAGGTCCATTATTGCACACAAAATTGTCCATCTGAGGTTGCGGACAGACTATCGACGACCCCGCCTGGCACCTCCCAGAAACCCCGTCTCACCAGCCCTTAAAGTACTCGGATGGTCAACATTCATGACCCATCCCTAAATAGTGAGGGTGCTTAGTTTTCGCTTAGTTGAAAACTCAGGATTGAGCGACAGCATTGTATTGCTCTCTCCTTGTGAGATTGCCACATTAGTATTATTTGCTGCCTCGTCTCCTGTCACCAGATCTGGGCTACTTCTTGCTAGTTCTTGGTATGGTGGCTGTCACTGCACAACTCACCCTCCTGCTACCCCCCTTCACCATCTGGGCTAATTCTTGCTAATTCTTGGTATTGGTCAACATTCATGACCCATCCCTAAATAGTGAGGGTGCTTAGTTTTCGCTTAGTTGAAAACTCAGGATTGAGCGACAGCATTGTATTGCTCTCTCCTTGTGAGATTGCCACATTAGTATTATTTGCTGCCTCGTCTCCTGTCACCAGATCTGGGCTACTTCTTGCTAGTTCTTGGTATGGTGGCTGTCACTGCACAACTCACCCTCCTGCTACCCCCCTTCACCATCTGGGCTAATTCTTGCTAATTCTTGGTATGGTGGATGTCACTGCACAAGTCACCCTCCTGCCACTAATCCAAACCCACAACTGTCAGGGGATTCCTTCTGTGAAAATTGGTCACTAACAACCCTGTCAGCCATGGTAGGAGGCAGCATGACACAGGGAGTGATCTCAATGGAAAAGCCACACTTGCTACCTGTTGTACCTAACCCTAAGGGTCACTCTCGCATCAGGCTCAGTGCCTCCCACCGCTCCCAACCTATACTCTGAGGGGATCATTCCCCTATCAACTTTCGTTGGCCCCCTCCCTCCCAACCACATTCGGCAACAGTTGTGATCCCAACAATTGAAAAGCCTAAACCTGTGGGGGATCGCCCTTGCACCTCAGATCCACAATCGTCACAGTGGTGTTGTCCCTTGACCCCCTCTCCAGAGCAGCATCCACAAGTGCCTGTGCCGCATCCTCTGCGGCCTCAGCAGCTTCCTTGCCGGCCGCCTCCCCAGCTTCCAGAGTCTTCCGAGTCACATCGCAGGCCTCTGAGTCTGAAAAGGCATCCCACAGGCCATCGGTGGCCAGCACCAGAAACTCGTCCCCTTTGTTGCGGCCAATTATGGTCACCTGTTAAAACACAGCACCGTTTTAGGCAAATAGACCTTGTGCTTTAGCGCTGTAATTTAATAGCAAGTGTAGTACTTTAGTGCAGTGCTGCAGCAACACACCACTGTTTGAGGCAAACGGCCACAGGGCTTTAGTGTAATAGGACATGTAGCAATATAGTGCAGTGCAGGTGCAATTCAACAACTCACATAGGCTGCCAGTGGCCAGTGCCAAACGCTCAATTCCCTCACACCGTGGGCCAGACACGGTGACCTTTTAGTGCCCAATAGTTTAGTGCTGTAGCACAAGCTGTATTATTGTGGAGCAGCATGCGCAAGGCAGTATTTTATGCCTCACCTCTGGGTCTGCAACAACGCCACAAGTCCTCAAGTAGTGGTCCCCAAGGGCACGAGAAACGGCCAACAAACCCATCACCCTCCTTCCACCACAATCCAGCACGGCACCCCCGGCGGCCCTGATCCTTTCCTAAATGGCGACAAGCACACATTACATCGGGTCACAATACGGGAGGGGCACCCCCAAGGTACTTGTGGCGATCTTCGATCCATGTGTTGCAGACAATGCAGACAGTGAGAACTAGGCACAGCTCGAAATGATAACAAGCACAAAGTACTGAAATAGGTACCAGACGAAAAGTAGCAAAAGATTAGGCACTGAGCACAAGGCCCTGACAGAACAGGACACTGAGGCTAAGCATCAACCACAAGAGCACAAGGCCCTGACAGAACAGGACACTGAGGCTAAGCATCAACCACAAGAACAAAACACCGAGCAGTAAGCACTAATGCTGAGCACCAAGACTGGCCTCAACACAACTCTGCTTCTTGTAGGTCAGGTGTTGTCGAAGCTACTGCCCATCTCGCCCTCATGGTGCAAGGAAATCACACAAATTGAACCCAATAACAAGAACAGGAACAAAAGTGCCATGCAGTTTCGTCCTCTGCTCTGTGTTTGTAGTCATTGTTCATCCCCCCACCTCAAAAGCACATGACTCCACCCCAAAAGGAAACAGCTGTTCCCTGCAGAGAAGAAAATTCTCCTCACCCGTTCGTCATCCACTCCAGGCTTGTGGTCCCGGCTCAGCCTGTATGCAGCCCCACCCCTTGACAGCACAGCCCTTGAGTCGCCGCAGTTGGCAATGCACATGTGCGACTCGCACACCATCGCAACCACGGCTGTGCTGCCCATCTCCAGGGCCATGACCTGGTCCTTCAACCGCCCGTCCATCAGATGAAATGCCTCAACAATGGCATCCGCAATTTGACACAGCGTCAGCCCTGGATGGCGTCTTGCTGCAATGGCCATCTCCTCATCTGAGGGGATGGTGGGAGGAGGCAGTGCGCATGCAGTTTGTTCATCAACTTCCCCAGTTGCTTCAAAGGCTTCTTGGACTAGAGGGGGTTTCCTGGTGCCCTTCTCGGTCAATGGCGATGTAGGTTGGTCCCTTGATGAGGCGAGGTTACTGTTACATGGGACAGCCCCAGCCATGGTCCCCAGCAAGGCTGCAGCAAACGCCTTCTTGTAGAAGAGGTGCATGTAAGTGGCGGCCTCCTTGGACACAGCCTCCCCCCCATGGCCATCATATACACCCGCGAAATGAAAAAAGGCCACAACCCGCCTCGGCTCTCCCGCCCCCTCCGTGCTCGATTCCACCGCTGTCCTTTGCGGACCTGCACTTGGCCTTCTCCCCACCTCCTCCCACAGTGGCCTCAGCCCCCTCTCAACCATTTTTGGCACAACCCTCTCGCCATCCCCCACCAGCAGAGGCAGCCAGACCAGGTTCTCCTTCACTGTGCTGTCGTCCTCCATCTCCAATCGTCGCCCATGTGATTTCACAGTCCCTATCGGCGGTGCTGCAACTGGTTGATCGGCATCAGCCCTCTGCAGACTGTCCCCATCTCTGCTGCTCCCCCCCCGCGCCATGGCACTGGAAAAGGCACCGCTCGTCCCCAAGGGATCAGCTTCCAGGTCGGGGACACCAGCCGCCTCTCCTGCCTTGTCGGCCCTCATGCCTGGGTGAGAAAATGGAACAAAATCGCATTGAGTCGATGCGACCCAAAATTAATCCGCCTTCAGTGCCTGGGGAGATGCAGTGCTAGATGGCTGCCTGGGTGAGCAACACCAACGGGGTTCCAAGTCGGCCCTCATGCCTGGGTGAGAAAATGGAACAAAATCGCATTGAGTCGATGCGACCCAAAATTAATCCGCCTTCAGTGCCTGGGGAGATGCAGTGCTAGATGGCTGCCTGGGTGAGCAACACCAACGGGGTTCCAAGTCGGGGAGTGCAGGACTTCATTGGATACACAGGGGAGTCAGATGGCAGCCAGAATTGGATCAGCCACTGCACAGAGTAAAACAAAGTACGCACACCCTGGCATTTGGGGCAGGTTTGGTTGTCCCTATGTGGGTTGATGCATTCCCAGGGTCTGTGTTACCATTGTGTGAGTGGGTGAGAGGCCAAATCGCTGCCCTGCCAAGTTGGCATTTGTTCCAATCATTGAACTTTCGAACGTTTTGTCACTTCCAAGCACTGGAAAGCCAAGTAAGTAGAAAAGCAACAAGAAATGTGTAAGCCAAAATGGCATTAGCACCTTTTCTAATCGGTTTGAGCAGCTTCCGCACGATCAGACTGTCCAGCAGCCACCGGTCGCCTCCCTCCCTGTCAGCAGGGCACACCCCGTGCCGGCGGAACATCTGCATTTTCAAAGAAGTGAAAGAATGGAGTCAAGACTTGCAAGCCGATCAAGGGCAACCAGCCACCCTCTTTGGCCACAGAATGGCATTGATCCGCAATTGCAACGGCAGAGATTTTCTGGCTATTCGCGGTACTCTGTCTGTTGCATGCCCATTCGTGGTGCACCCGGTAACTTCTGCGTCGTCTCCTCCACTTCGCGAAAAGACTCTCGCGGAAGTGCCTGCTGAGGAAAGGAATCCCCAGTATATGACATCTTCCAAAGTGTGGAAGCCACACTTCAGAAACTTCGTGCTCAGGAAGGGTATGGGGCAGGCTGGGCAGGCGGCTGGTGTACCCCATTGCACGGCTTGTCACCTTTCTGTTCAAGTCGACAGTTTTGGGACCTGTTGGGATGCCATGGAGCATCTCTCCCCACGTGCCATTGTTCACAGGCGCCGCCGCAAGATTTTTTAACGGCACGCGCATCGCCACCGTGCTCCAGGCGGATGCGGGTAGGCAGGGCCAAGGGCCACTCGAGAAATCGGAACTCTTACGGAACAGCAGGACTGGCGCGCTCTGCCTTCAAAGGGCCACTCGAGAAATCGGAAATCTTACGGAACAGCAGGACTGGCGCGCTCTGCCTTCAAGCAACGACCAAATTCATCCACCCTCCTCCGACACACCCGTCAGCCCCGATCCGGTGCAATCCGGGGATCGGAATCCACAGGCAGCAGAGGCCGCAAATGTCTCCCAGACGCACGGCTCACCGGCAGTTCCCCTCCTCGACGCCGCCCGCGATCTGCCGCAGAACTACCGTTGGTCCCAGACCGTCCCGCTCCTCCAAAGGCCTCCTTTCCCTCCTGCACAACGCCGCTCCTCTTGCGGTCCGCCACGCCCTCCCGTTCGCCAACTCCCAAGCCGAGTGCAGAAGCACACTTCCTCCACGTCGAGGTGTCTCTGCTGCGCTCCAGGGCGGCGCTCTTTAATACCACGCCCCCCAGGGTTCACACAAAGCGTTCCAGAGGAGGTTCCAACTGGGAGTTCGCTCAATGACAGGTGGCCCCAAGCCGCCGCGCTGTGGGGGCTTCTCGGTACGACTTGTACACCCTCAGGGTCGGGCCACCAAGGCCCGCGGCAGCCCGCGGGGATGACGTCGCCAGCATGTCAGTGTGAGGGGTGCGCGTAGGAGCCATCACGTGGGACACTGCGGCCCAGATTGGGTCAACGCGTTGCTGACCTACTCACGCGGCGCGCTGACTCGGCATCGGCGGTGCGCTGGGGCGCAAGAAGGAGTAATTTCATGCCAACGCCGCTGGGGCATGAAATTACTCCCTTTTTGCTGGGATTCGATTCTTGTTTTGCTGCCTGAGCTGATGTGGATCAGTGGTCGTGGGTCCTGAGTTGCGGCACCGGCAATCGCGACAGCTGTGCCGCCACCGAGCCATGCACAGAGGGACGGGCCGGCCGGCGCGGGTGGTCGGAAGGCAGCAACGGCGGCCGGCGATGGGGGCGCAGGCTTCGAATGGGCTTGGCGAAGCACACTGCATGAAGGTGAGTCGCATTCCTCAAGTCGCGGACGATCCGCGTTGTCCACGGCGAGGTCGAAGGTCTCTCTGGCGGCTCGCTGGTGACGATCCTTGTCCTTCAGCGAAAGTCATTCCGAAGCTTGGTCGTGTCAATGGGGCAGAATGGATTGGAATTGCCGCGGGAAGGGAGACTGGGGCAGCCAATGGCATGGGGGCGGAGCCATCGGTTTATACCCCAGAATGGTTGAGACGATGGGGCGGCAGGTTGCGCGTGCAGTGGACCAACCAACATGTATAAGCTGAGGCCTTCCAGACCAGCCGTTTATATATGTAGGTCGGTCAACTGCCAGCAACCCTCCCCTTGCCGCCATGTTTCAAATTTTGCCGCCATCTTTGAGTTTCAAACCTCACAGACTTTTCCAATGTCTCACCGCTAATTATAATACTATTATAATACAAGTCCGGAGCCTTGCGCATTGCACGCATGGTGCTCCTATGGGGTAACCCGGCCCAATGTTTGGTGAATCGGCGGTGATGGACATTTGCGGTTTGTGGGATTCGAGAAGCAGTTGACAAGCACGGTTGTTGACAAGTTCATCAGAAGTGTTGCACAACTGGACAGCAATAATATATCTTGAGAGCTGCATTAGGTGTTCCACTTGGTGTTCTGTTTTATTGCAACCAGAATCCGACATTTAGGAATGTTGTGATGTGTGCATTGTGTCATGCATATGACGAGATATTATATGATTGCGCCACATGCCATGGGTGCCGCCTAGTTAAGCACGATGTGTTGGTCAAAGCATGAGAACCTGAGTTGACAAAACATGTCTTGGATCCGCAACATTCTTTGCATCGTATATTCATTCTATGTTGCCGTTGTATTGCAAGCCATAAGGCTGGACATGAGCGTACACTGCACACATGGGGTTCTGTGATTAGCTTGGTAGCATGGCGTTGTGCTATTAGTTGGATTACCCACAGGTCCCTATGAGGCCTGTGAGGCACCACAGGCGTATATTATGCCATTGCCAAAGTGGAAATGGTCTTGAGGCCTTGAAAGGGAGCTATGTGGGAACGACTTCAAACTGAGTTCAATATGTTCACTCATGATCAAGCACAATCATTAAGATTCATTGTTTTGAAGATCAAGTAAAGCACACCAAAGAGTGCACGAACTGGTGCATTAATTAGTGCAAAAACTTGTGCATGGATTGTGCCAAATAGCTGAGTGCGGGGTCGAATCTGGCGATTTGCAAAATCTGCATTTGGCCCATGTGCCCATCTCAAGGATCGAGTCGATCTTCATGCGCCTTGCGCCCCCCTCGTTCACAACTCTTGCTAATGTTCGACAATGCGCCCACCACGCAGAGCACCATCGACTACCCTGACAACGGCTATGGCTGTTCGCAAAGGCGATTGGCATAATTGCCAATCGACAGGGCAGGGTGATTGTGGTGGAGTGGACCAGTGTCATGGTAATCGAGTTGGTGGCGATAGCATTGCTGTACTGTGCCAGGTTGCTCCTTAGGATCGCAATCGTGCCCACCAGCACGCGCTTGTGGAACTTCTCCCTCTGGTTCTCCCTGCATGGGCATGGCGACCCCAATTCCAAGCAAGTCGCCCTGCCCATAGATGGCCTCCCAGAACTTTTTTGGTAGAACTGGGATGGGAACGGTATCTGTCCTTTTTCAGCTCCCCGTTCCACTTCCATGCCGCTTCCAACCCTTTCCGGCCCGTTCCAAACCCGTCCCGGCTGGGATTGTCACATGGCGGGGCGCTGTGACCACCACGGCTGACTCACCCAGCCTCCGCCCAGCTGCCCATCCCCTCCCAACAGCTCCGGCTGGCCGCACCCCGCCCATGCCCCGCCCCCCCGCCCTGTTGCCTTGCCACACAGCTGGCCCCCGGGTGATTGGAGTGGGCAAAGGGATGCCGCCTTGTGGGCGCCCGATCTCGCCAGCCGCGGGGGCTAATCGAGGCCCTCGCGGGTGGCGGGATTATGCACCCGGAAGGCGCCGTTTTGTTGGCGAAAAGTGGCGCCTCATGGGCGCCAGATGCCGCCGGCCGTGGAGGCCAATCGAGACCCCCGCGGGTGGCCGGAATGGGCGCCTGCAAGGCGCCGTTTCCTTGGCGAAAAGAGGCGCCTCGCGGACGCCAGATCCCGCCAGTCGTGGGGGCCAATCGAGGCATTTTAGGAGGACGCCAATCCAAAATTATCCAGCGGACGGCCCGCCGGCGGTGGGTGCGTGGCGAGCAGCAGGATAGGTGCGAGCGCGAGCAGGGTAGGCGTCACCGTCGTCCACCTCATACCGACAACACAAGCGCGCCCTCCTGGGTGATTGCTGGCCCTCACTGGCGATTGCCAGCGCCGGCGAGTGCAATAACCGGAAGGCGGCTGGGTGACCTCGCTAAGCCGCTCGCGGATCTTGTCAAGCGGAAGAACTGCGGCTTCAGCAGGCAGCATCGTTGCTACAGCCAGGTGGCCCAATTGGCGTGGTTCGCATTAATCCAAATTGACAACCGCCGGCAGGACCAGCGAGTCCAGGCGAAGCGCTGGCCAACCTTGTCCGGTTTCGTTCGATCTAGACAGCCAGACTGACACCAAATACCCACAGCAGAAACCAACGATTCAGGGGTCTTGCTGGCTCTCACTGGGAGTCGCCAACGCCGGCGAGTGCGATAACCGAGGGGCGGATGGGTGACTTCGCAAAGCCGCTCGCGAATCTTATAGAGCGGAAGAACCGTGGCTTGGGCGGGCATGCCCGTTGCTGCGCAGCAACGTTGCTACAGCCAAGTGGGCCATTTGACTTGGTCCGCATAGGTCAAACAGCGGTCCCGGCAGGTCCAGCGACTCGATCGGAGAAGCCACAGCTTGTCGCGTGCTAGCCCAAATCATTGGCGCCTAGCGGCCCTGGAACACACTGGGCGCGACTGAAGCAAGCAGCTGTCCGGCCACAGCCTACTCTTCTGCAGCAAATGGGCCACTAAACCTGGTTCGCATAAGTCAAACCTGAGAACCACCGGCAGGTCCAGTGACTCGAGCTGAGGCGCTCGCCGATCTTCTTCACCATCTTTTCTAGAGCTGGCCAATCGGAGCAACCACAGCTTGTCGCGTGCTAGCCCAAGCCATTGCTGAGTAGCGGCTGTGGGACACACTGGGCGCGACTGAAACAGGCAGCTGTGCGGCCACAGCCTACCCTGCCGTTATACGCTTCTGGGACCGTACCGAACGGGCCGACCAGCAAAATGCCAGCCCCGCCGAAGCTCCAGCACGCCGCTCCGTGTCCGCGTGCGTTTTGATCGCCGCAAGGCGTCCCAGCTCAATCCCGCGTGACAAAGTCCTCGGCTTGCCGCCGCAGCCCCTCGCCCGCGAGGGCGCGGCCAGGCACTCGCGCGTCGCTATTTCCCACGGGTTTGGGTCGGCCCAGAGGCGCGAACGCCCCACCACAGTGCTTTAAGCAGTACTGTGGTTGAGTCACGCGAAATATAAT